TATTATTATCATTTTCTTGTTATGAGGAAAACTAAAAAAATAACTGGAAAAATAATATCTGGAACTTTGTAGTGAAGAAATTAAATTGAATTGGATAAAGGAATGAACAAACGAATGAAGAAGTGATGACATGACATAAGTGAATGAAAAAAAGAAATAGATGGACAGACAGAGAGATGTATGCATGTGCATGATCAACTCAGAGTTATTTCATAGTAAGATAGTTAGAAACTAAAAAAGACAACTTTTCTCATTCTAACCAGGCTTTGAATCAGCTAAAGCACTTGCCTGTCATGGAGCACATGTTATTATGGCCTGCAGAAACATGGTGAAAGCACAAGACTCTTCAACAATTGTCAAGAATGAGTGCCAATGCAAGGTTATCTGTTTTGTTTTGTAGATCATGAATGCAAAAACTTCTGTATTGATATACTGCATGTGTTTATGGGTAGTATGGCTGGCGTATGCTGCCTACGTGTCATACTTCTTTCACCGCTGTGAGTCCACTGGGTCAGGTCGCTGGTTCAAGCCCTGCAGTCGCCACATGAATTGAGTTTGTTTGATGTGTTGTCCTATGCTACGAGGGTTTTCTGGGTTCTCTAGTTTCCTCCTCCATTAAATCAACATGTGAGCGGAGTGTTGTGTGCATAGAACAGTGATTTAGTGGTAGTGTGTATGTGTGTGTGAGTGACAAGTGTCCCACTTGAACCACTAAACACATAAATAGAGATTAGTTTTGCTGTCTGTCTGTCTGTCTGTCTGTCTGTCTGTCTGTTTGACAGTGTGGTCCAGGTTGCTCAAGTTCAGAGAGAACATGCAATTAAAGACCCAGTAAATTAGAAAACAAGACATTTTCATGATATGACTTCAACAGTTGGTTTAAAGATAAGCTACACCTCATGAATAAAGTTTAAGTAAACGTCATATCATGGTAAATAAGATGACATATTAAGCTAAACTATAGGAAATTTTTTATTTTACTGGGTCTTTTTAATTAATGGTTCTCCCAGAAAGTGAGCGGGCTGGAACACAGTGCATGTATTTTCTCAGGGTATTGAAGCTAAGGTTGATACAATGCATTTGGACTTGGCATCGTTTAAAAGTGTTAGATTGTTTGCAGAAAACTATAAAAGCAGGAAACTGTGAGTAAATGTTGTGTATATTATATTTTTATGTTATATATTGTTGTGTAATGGAAATTATTATACAATAGAGCGTCTTCATGTAACGTCACAGCAGCCATTATGGGGCATTGAAACAATACATTTTCTATCCTCCGGGAAATGAACTCTATTTTTATGCAAATACTGGGCAGAAAGTTTCTATTGTTTATGGCTGTCTTCTCACGTGAGTGAAAACACTCTATAATAATATGTTTATTAATTTGATTAGTCTAGATTTTTGGCTAGCACGTTTATTTATTTATTTATCAACAATATTTATACAGAGGTGCCCAGTTGAGCAAAGCTGGTTTGAATGAGGCTCTATTTAAAATAAACTTACTATAGTGATGAGTGAGGGTTAGACTAGGAAGACATGTTCATCACACCGTCGTTCATTGAGACTAACTCATACACGTCAGTGGTGATATGTGATATTTACATTGTATGATTACATCATGCATTGTAATCTAATCTGTGATTGTTATATCCCTCCCTTCTCAGATGGATACCAAATTATCATTTTCATACTAATCAACGTTAATTACTCAGTTCACAGGCTGCTTTATTCTAAAACAGCCATATGTGTCGCGTTTTAGGACCCAACTTTTGCTGTATTGTTGCCCGTATTGCGATACACCGATACACAACATGCCATAGGGCTACATATCTAAGCAATCCARAATCCAATGTAGTCCCCCGGTCTCTCAAAGGATCAGCTAATTAATATACACCACACGGCCACACATACAGCGATACAGGCGATAAACAAC